GTAGGTAAACAATAGCTTAATCACGGGACACCGGATAAATCACTTATCCGGCACTTCGAGCCGAATAACTACCGCTATAAGGTAGCTAATAATATTGGGAATCAAATTTGATTTGTGATTCGAAGCCCCAAATCAACCAATCAAATTTGATTTTCCCAATATAATAGTTATTCGCCGAATAACTATTAATTATATAGGTAAATAGCAAAAATCCGAAAGATTTCGAATATTTCGCCCGGTGAATCTTTATCCGAAACCCTAATGTTGTATTTCCCTGCTCGTAAATAATATTAAATAATTTTTTATAAAAATTGATTATATTCGTTCAACTAAATAATATAAATATAACGTCATGTTTTATTAATGGAAGAATTTCTTTATTACTTTTAGAATTTTTAACAAATTTACACGAACAACAATTATTTAGGAGGGATATATGCGAGAAATTATTTGGCTTTACTTAAAATAGACAAACAAAGCCTTTGTTTATGTGTCCTCCTGAAATGTTGATCACAAATAAATTTTATGTTGCAACATTTGCTTTTCTAAACTATAATTTCAAATGTAAATATATTATATAACGTGAGAATTTGTCATGTGACGAACCCCAAAAAAATCGATTTATTATTTATTTGCAAAAAAATATTTCTAAAACTCATGATTATTGATTCGATCTATAAGTTACCAATTCCTTGAAATATTAATTTTACAACCATATTATTCTTAATTCATTGAATTACCATATTTTGTTCTTATCAAATTGATTTAAATTTAACTATTCATAAATTTTTTAAGCTTAAATTTCAATAATTCAGATTAATTGCGTATTACTCGAAAAAAAATTTGGCCAATTTTACCCTATTTTAAACGAAATAAATAAAAAATAAAATAAATAAAAAAAATAAATAAATAAAACTTATATTCTAATAATATTTTAACGTTTGGTTAAAAATGAGCGACATGAGAATGCCTTTGATAAATAAAATGATCGTCTCTTGCCAAACCACCGTCATCATCATTTTGATTAATGACTTGTGCCATTGTTATATTATTCTCAATATTCCCATGAAATGAATTCGTTTCTATATTGGAAGCGCAATGTTGACAAAAATTTTGATGTGGGTAGTTATTAGAATTATGAACATCGTCATTCATATTTCCGTCGGAATTTGATCTCATTTCATTTTCGGGAATGTGATTTTTTGAAAGATGAGAAGGAAGAACTTGCTTCAAGTTATTTTCAAGTCGTAGCTTTTGATGTAAGGATAATGATAACCTGTTGCGTCTTGAATTATTCACATTATTAACATCAATGTCTATTCCGAACATTTCTTTATTTAGTATGCTTGCGATTAAAGATTGTGAATATAATACGCAAGAAACGGAATAATTTTCTCCATCAAATTGATAAAAAAATTGGTGATCATAATCTTCCGGAGTGAAAGAGTCTGGAACCACCATTTTACAAATCACAAAATAAAAATGATGATCATTTAAATAAAAGAATCTAACATTGGGATCATAAAAAGACATAGTATTCATATTTAATTTGTAGTAAAAAATTTTTTAAGGAGGATTTAAATATTGTTATTGTTCTTATAAGATACTGTAACTTAAATAAATATATATTATTAACTAATTTTTTTTTTTTTGAAGCCTAAATTCCTGAAAGGATTTATTTATAACGTAAATTTTTTTTTTTATGGTATCATATTTATCATATTGTTTATTTGAACAGATTAATAAATGTACTGTACCTACCTACCATTCAAATAAACGTTCCCCCCTACTTACAACATTTAAATATATTTATTACATTGCATGCCAAAATCTTTGCATCTTCGATCTTTGAGTCAAAGAAAATACATAGTCAAAACTTGAAAGCCTTTGCACCTAATAAGAGATAAGTAACACCGCAGATTTCTAAACTCAATCTGATTTGCCAAACGCGTATACTTCACGTGAATTTACATAAACATATATTATTCAAATCAAATCAACTATAGGGAGTGAACAAAAAAAAATTTAATTATTTTAAAAAGAGTGAATAAAGTCCACCATTATTTTATTAGTCGAATCTCGAAGAAAATAATAATAATAATAATACTTAAGACGTGAGGTATAAAGTTCTATACAGTCAGCGGTAGTGCAGTCTGTCTAAAGGTCTTTAGGTGTTATTAAATACATACGAAACTCGTGAAACTATGCTAGGTACAGTATATAACTCGGACTTTTTTGTTAGTAGATATAAATGAGACACAACGACATTCAAATAATGAATGATCAAATCAAACACTCCAACTTCCTTGTGAACCTGAATGTTTTGAATAACAATTTGTCATTTGTTTGGACTCGAAGTTTGGGTGAGCGATTGCCATTATCAGCGGAGCCGAAATAAACCAAAATTAATTGTAACAATTAAAAACACAGTAATGTGTCGATCATTAATTCTTCAATGCATAAAAAAGTCGTGAGTAAAAATTTTTTATCATTTCTCTCTTATGTGTGTAAAAAAAAAAAAAACAAAAACGAAAAAACAAAAATTTGAATTTTTTTTTTTATTTAATATAACTTTCAGGGATTAGTAATTTTAGTGATTTCCTCATTTTAATAGATATCAAGAAGGTTTTATGATATAAAGATTTTTTTCAATGAGTAATTATGAAGACATGGAAACTATAGAGGAAGGCTCTACTTTTAGAAATTGGGATGAAGCAAAAACGGCTATATATCTTTATGCCAATAAAAAAGGATTCAATTTATGTAAATCTAGAAATAAAAAACATGAAGGAGGAGAGCTGCGTAAAAGAACTTTTATTTGTGAATTTTCAGGAAAACCTCAAAAAAAGAAAACAAATAGACCATCAAAATCTAAAAAAATTTCATGTCCTTGGCATATCAATTTATCTTTACCGGCACAAAATAATCATGAAAATTTAGTCAAAATCACAAAGTTTGTTGATCGTCATAATCACCTGACAAAGCAAATGATGCAAGATGTTGAAATATAACACACAGTGAAGGTGGAGCAGCTACACAACGAAAATATTTACATGCCAAATATCCAGGTCATCCACTATCTAATCAAGATTTATCTAATGCCATTATGCAATATAAACCATCTAAAGAAGATCATAACACTATCATGATGCTTAAGTATCTAATCAAACAAAAAGAAAATTCGGAATGGAAGGTATATTATGATTTTGAACCTGGTACTACAACCCTTAATAGACTTTTTTGGATGACGCCAAACCAGGTGGAAGATTGGAAACGATTTAACGATGTCATTTTAAATGACAACACGTACAAAAAAAATCGTTATGATATGATGTTATCTATTTTTTTCACTATTGATCAAAATAGATGTATACGAATCGTTGCTCAAGCATTGATAGATAACGATATTGCAGAAAATTTCGAATGGATATTGAAATGCACATTAGATGCTACTAAAGTTGAGCCAAAAACGATTATCACAGATATGGAACGTGGCATGGATACTGCCGTAGAATGTGTGTATCTTAAAGCTTGGCATCGACATTCGACGTGGCACCTATCTTTAAATTTAGAAAATAACGTAAAAATAAAACTTGGACCAAAGTATCAGGAATTCCTCTATGATTTTTTTGCATGTCGAAATTCTTTACAGGAAGAAAGCTTTCAAAAAAAATGGGATTATTTAATTGGAAATTATTTAGAAATTGCTGATTATCTAACCAATACATTATATGAAAGCAAAAAGTATTGGGCAAAAGCTTTGATCGATGAAACTTTTACAGCAGATATTGATTCGAATTATGAACTTATCCATGATCCTGTAAAACAAGCATTGATCAATTCAAATGTTGTAATTGTCGAACTGATTGATTATATTAATGATCGAATCGAAAAACAGTTTTATGAAAAATATGATCGAGAACTAATTGAATGGTCGAGTTATAGAACTAGAGATGATATAAATAATGCAATTGAACATGCTTTATCACCTTATAATATAAATAATTATTTATCACCAGCTTGTGCAAAGTTACAACTTTGTGAAATAGAACTTTCTCGTGAAATTGTTGCCAAAAAATATGATATCGGAGTGATCGAAAAGAAAAGCATGGAGGAAATTGAAGAAATAGGGCTTAATTTTCCTTTAGAAAACGATTGTTATGCTAAACAAATTTCACTCAAGAAATTATTTTCATGGATTGACACGAAAAACATTAACGAAACGTGGTCCGTTGATTGTAAAGTTAGTAGTTATTATGACCATACAAATTATATTTTATTGATGAATGATGGAAGTCATTTATGTACTTGTTTAAGAAATATTTATTATGGCATAATTTTTAGACATTATTTTCAGGTTATGAATCACACACATAAAGCCAAATTTCATATTACAATGATTTCGAAACGATGGTACCAATTTTAAATCATTTATCCTCATTCCATTATTACCATAAATCAACGAATTAATATTATAATTACACTTTCATATTCTTCATGATAAGATATTAATTTATTCCATCACTATTTAAAATCCTAAATCATTTACAATTTTGTAGATAATTTTAATTCTAAAATTTTAAAGTTTTGAAATAATATAATTTTGTTAATTTTAATATTGAAACATTTTATTATCTATTAATTATAAAAATATAATATAGTCTATTAAATTTATTATAATAAGATATTTTAAATAATAATTACTGTAATTCATATTCTTAACATTAATAATTAAAATGTTATTAGTAAATTATATTCTAAAATATCAAATAATCTACTAAAATTAATACACTATCTTATAGTTTTTTATACATACACTTTATTTTATAATAGTTATATTTTATTATTTTTATATTTATAGATTAGTAAAACATTGTAGTTTAGCTTATTTATATCAAAATTATTTAAATAAATTAATTTATATTATATGTTCAAAATTTATATATTATATAATTAGAAATTCTTATTTGAAAAAAATAAAATAATATAAATTATTTTAAATAAGTTTATTTATAAAGATTATCAATTATATAATTAATTAATTAAGTAATATCAAAAATTATCCATAATTAAGTATAAATTTTTTTTTATAAATAATATTTTTAATAAAATATTAATATAAAAAATTTTATATATAATATATTTAAAATTTTGACTTTTTTTAAACAATTTTTTTTTATTATATTATTATTTTTTATTGAATTTCTTTTAGAGTTTTTCAACTATATATTTTTGAAATTTAATTTTATTTAATTTTATATTTTATATTTTTAAAATTAAAAAATTGATATATATTAATAATTATTAATTTTAAAAATTTAAAAATATTATTATTAGATATATTTTAATATAATAAATCTAATAAATTTTATTTTATTTTTTTATGATTACTAGATATTAAAATATTATAATTTTTTTACAATATTTTATAATCAATTTATATTTACACAAAAAAATGATAATTTTTCAAATGAAAATTTAATAAAAAAAGAAGAAGATAAGGATACTATCATAAAATTAAATAAAAAAAATACTAATTTAGAGATAATGATATAATTAAACTTGATAAAAAATAAATTAATTCAATATATGTAAATTTTTTATATAAATAAATTAACTTTTGTTATATACAATTTACTCATCTCATAAAAATAAAAATAATAAATTGTATTTTAATATTAGAAGGTTTCAATAAATTTTGTTATCTATTAAAATTTGCCTTTAATAAAAAATTTAGCAAAACATTTCAATAGGTTTCAATTTTAATATTTATTAAATCTTCAGATTTTATTATCAATTTTAAAATAAATTATTTTAAAAAACTTTTTAATAAACTTATAATAAAATTAATAAATACAATATATAAAAAATATCAGTTAAATTTTTACTAATTTCAATTTTAATTTTTAAGTTAATTTTGTATATATGATTGTGATTAATTAAATAGACCAATAAAATTTTTTAACTAAAATTAGAATTTCTTTTTCTATTAACTATCGCTTATATATTAAACTAAATTAAATTAATATTTATTAAGAAATTAATATATTTTAAATTTACAACAAATTTACTTATTAGATAATCTAAAAATAATTTTTAATTTTATTATTAAAAATTTAAAATAAAGTAATAAAAATTGTAATATTATAAAATTATAAAAATTAAAAGTATTATTTTTAATTATTAAAAATTAGATTTTATTTTTTTTGAAAAAAAAAATTTTATAAGTTTTATTTTAATATAATTTAATTAAATTTATTTTATTTCTATAGATTTTAATTTAATTTTTTTAATAAATAATTTTATTTAATTTATTAATTCTATAATATATTATTTATTTTAATAATTAAATTTTTTTTTAGATTTAAATTATTAATTTATTTTAAAATTTTTTAATTCAGTTTTTTATTTTTAAATTTATTAAATAAAATATTATAAATTAATTATAATAAAATTAGATGATATTACAATACCTAGTAAAAATATCATTTTTATTAATTGTATAATTACATTTATTATAATTATTAAATTTTTAAATTTGTAATATATATAAATATTTTAAATTAAAATAGCTTTATAACTTATAATTATATATTCTATTTTTAAAAAATAAAGTAATTTTAACAGTATTTAAAAAATATACAAACTATTATTATATCATTAAATATATATATATTTATTTAAATTTTTAAATTTTAAAATTTATATATAAATAATTAAAATTGCTTATCTAATCTATTTTAAATTTAATTAATTATTTAATCTTTTTATTTTACAGTTTATTAATAAAGTTTAATATTTTAATAATTTTTAAGTTTTATCTTTTTATTATTTGCTAATCTTTTAAGTTTTTTTTAGCAATTTTATAAATAAAATAATATGATTTATTTTTTATTTTTAATACTATTACATGAATTTATAAATAGCTAATTAAATAGTATTTAAACAGACAAATCAGATATAATTATTTTATTAATCATTTATAATATTAATGTAATTAATTTTGGTATTATTAAAATTAATTAGCATCAAATATAATTATTTTATAAATTTTTTTATTATAATCAATAAAATTATTTTATTTAATATTTATTTTATAATAATTATTTAAGCTTTTATCATTATTATTAATAATTATATAAATTAAATAATAATTTTAATTTTTAAATTTAATTACTTTAAAAAATTTTTTATTAAATAATAATTACAAAAAATAGTTTTTTTAAAATATAAATATTATCTCTTATAATAATAAATAAATTATTATAATATTATAAGTATCTTATTTTTTATATAATATTCTTTTATTTATTATAAAATACAGAGTAATATATATATATATATAATAACATCTTTTCAAATTGCCTTAGTTTTATAATTAATAAAGTATTTAATATGATATTTTAATTAAAAGATAATAGATTTTATTAAAAATAAAATAATATAATGTTTATGTATTATTTTTTTAATAATTTTATTATTTAAATTTTTAAAATTAAATTAAATGACTATTTGAATTTTTGTTTTATTTTTACTTAAAAATTATTTAGATTAATATCACTTTATATTCATTTTGATAATTATTTAAATTCATTTTTAATAAACTTTAAAGCATACTAAAAGTTTATGTTGCATAATATATAAATGTTCTGATATTCTACTTACTTAAATATCAAGTAATCTATCATGTTATGCATTAATCTCTATATGCTCCTGAGAAAAAGCAATTGTCTGTGCATCTTTTGTGCCGCTTTATTTAGTTCTTGGGTACTTTCTACTAATTTCATAAATTGATGATAGTTGTGATTATATCCAAACAATATTTCTTCTTATTTTTTTTCAATGCCTTTTAACGAATTTGTTGTTAGTATAACTTAATTAATGAAAATTTTAGAACTATTAAGGCATAATTTAGGTTAGATTGTGTCGTACGTTCTGCTTTATTGATTAAACTGAAATCATCAACCGTTTTCATTATTACCAATTTTTTTCATTAACATTTAGTGAGATAAATGATCAACTAGAGTGATAAAGTGGAATACTGAGCAGGAGGTGGCGTGTTTATTGGGCTAAAGTATCTCTTTCCGTGATGTTATTAATCAGAAGTTTGTATAGATTTGAGAATGGAATTGGAAATCTCTGATGCTATCCGCTTTATCGGTATATTTAGACAAAACTGCATGAATGCCAAGTATTGTTTAAGATCAAAGTTTGCATGCAAGCGGTTGTGAGGATTGATATAAGGATCGTTCCTAGGTGTTCATGATGATTTTCTTTGATTTCAGGATTAATTGTGGTAATTATTGAGTCTATATATGTTCATCAAAATCTTGTACAATCACCTCGAAAAGTGACACCCGATTCAAATCTTATAATAAGAATAGAAAATTTCAAGCTATATTCATATTAATACTTACTTTAATAGTTAGTTTTATATTTTAAAGCTAGTAATATTTTTTTTTTTTTATACGTTCCAAAAAAAAATACATAAATTTAAAAATGGACAATTTCGAGCTGCATATATAATTTATATTTCATTTAATATTGGTTTCGAAATTTTTCATAATTTAAAGTTAATTAGTCATATTTTTAAAAAATAATATTTACTTTAAAAAAACTTCATACTTTAATTGTAAGATCCAGAAAAAAGTTTTATATACTGTAAATTACTATGTAATTTAAATCGAACGTCACTCACCGAACATGTTAAGAAAATTCTCGAATTGAAAATCATATACATTATTATTGGGCACACCCGAGGACATTTAAATTACAATGATTTTGAAACGAATGGTATAAGGAAAATTGTGAAAGAATAGAACCGTACTATAATGAGATCTTTCTATTTTTATGAGAAAGATGCAATTGAGAGAAGCAATGTGATTCATTCAAAATAGAGAACAACATAAAACAACGAGGTAATGTATGTATTACGTATTTTCTTTGCTATCATTAAAAGAAATCATTTTTGCATAAAGTTCGCTCTTATTATCATTTGCCCGATTTTAAGGAATATGGCGCAGCAAGTAGAATAAACGTTAAATTTGCTGCGTTCAATATATTGGATTTTTTATTTTATTTGATAAAAATAATATAATTGAACCTATTCATTGATTGCAATTTTATTTATAGAGGAGTCACATTGGTTTATTATCTAAAATCGCGTCATATAAATATTAAAGCATCTTACTTATTGCACCGCTAACTCGGACCAAATTTCATTCGGGAGGATTCTCATCTCCATAAAGGCATAAAAAGCTAAATAATACATTTCACTAGAATCATCTGAACGAATCGGAGATTATAGTGACTTTATAGTTTTACAAATGGTTTACGTAGTTTATGTAATATTATTGACACAATAAATGCCAGAAACACATTATAATTCGTATTTATTATCCCAATAATAATGTTTTTTTTAAAAAAAAATGAGATGCTCAAATGCTAAAGGCAGATAAAAATGTCAACCGAACTGATAAAATATTTTAATACCGTAATCAACTGATGATACCTTATGAAAAAAGTAAAGAAATGACCAATGAAACAAATTTTTATAAATTTTTTATCTGTAATAGTGTGTCATTTTGCGAAACCTTAATTTGTTTCGAGCGGAACATCCGATAACTCCGTACATTTAATAAATTGTATATTTGTCAAATAAAGATAGATAATATAATAAATTCTAAGAACTTTTTTTGTGCGATTCTTCCTTTTTAAAATTTATTTACACGATCAACAATTATATGCGAGAATTTATTTGTCTCACTTAATTGATGTAAACAAAGTCCTTTTGTTTATGTCATTCTTCCATCATATGATGTCCATGGTGACTACTTTATAAATTAAATCCATAACGTGCCAATGTTGCTTCCGCTGCAAATCAAAATTTTGTTTACTTTTTATTAATTATTAACAATAATTTTTACAAATTTCCATAAGCACATGATTATCGTAATAAAAAAAAAAAATCGATTGCCAATTCCTAATTGTTACATAATTTTTCTATCTTAATTTTGCCTTAAATTTCAATAATTCAGATTAATAATTTGGCCAATTTAAACGAAATAAAAAAATAAATAAATTAATGCTAAGTGTCTAATAATAAAAGTTTATCGAATTATAATAAAGGATCGTTGCTCGACAAGTCATAATTTTGATTAATATCTGAAATGACTTGTTCCATCGGTAAATGAAATGAATTCGTATGTATATTATATTCTGTTCTCGTTTCTATATTGGAAACGTAGGGTTGACAAAAATTTTGATGCTGTAAGTTGTTATTAAAATCAACTAGCTGTTGTGAATGATTGTGATGATTGACATTTTGAACAGAATTATGAACGCTATCACCCTGATAAGAAATTATGTCACTATATGTTAAGTCTTCCTCAAAAAAATTGTCATCTTGGGAAGAGTCCTCATTTTCATCACAATTATCATTCATATTTCCGTCGGAATTTGATCTCATTTCATTTTGAGGAATGTGATTTTTTGAAAGATAAGAAGGAAGAATGATCTTCAAGTTATTTTCAAGACGGAACTTTTGTTGCAAGGATAATGATAACTTGTTGCATCTTGAATTATTCACATTATTTATATCAATGTCTATTCCGAACATTTCTTTATTTAGTACGTTTTCGATCAAAGATTGTGAATATAATACACAAGAAATGGAATAATTTTCTCCATCAAATTGATAAAAAAATTGGTGATCAAAATCTTCCGAGATGAAAGAATCTGGAACAACCATTTGACAAATCACAAGAAAAAAATGATCATTTGGTATATGATAAAAAAATCTAACGTTGGGATCATAGAATGGTGTAGTATTCATATTGTGTTATATAATTGTATTAAAAAGGATTTGATTTTGTTGTTGTTCTTATAAGATAACTTAATTGATTTTTTTTTTCAACTCGATTTGTTTATCAAGCCTAAAATTTCTGAAAGGACCCAAGAGGACTATTTATGCAATTTTTTTTTTTTGATAGCAAATTGTCTATTTGAACAGATTTTACAAAATTTACCTATTCAAGTTACCCTTATAACATAAATTTACTATCTTGCATGAAATCAAAACAATCGGAACTTGTACTCTACTCAGATTAATCAACTTAATCTTGATTATTATTTTTCTATTTCTGTATTACCGAACAAACGCGTATTAAATCACGTAATAACAGATTGAGCGCAATTGGTAATACTAGAAGAAACAAAATTTTTTAAATACAAGTTTTTTTTATTTTTTTTAGAAAATAGATAATGAATAGAATAAGGTCGAGAAGAAATCTTTTTACAAGGCAAACTGCTCTCTCCAAATCCCAAGTTCAAAAAAAAAATTTATCAGGACATTCAGGTTCATAGTAGGAATTGTTTGATTTGATTATTATTTGAATGACACTTGAATTATATGAGCATATATATGAGCATACAACATAGTTTCGTATTTTCATGATGCATGACGACCTTTAAACTACTGCTGACCGATAAAATACTAATGGACTCCACGTCGTTTAAAAAAAATATTTTTTTTTCCTTTCGGATAAGGCTCCTTTCCTTAGCAAAATGTAGGTTTTTAAACGCATGTATTTTGTCAGCGGAGAAAACCGACGAAAGATCTTTTATTTCAATACTAAAAAGGAAATTGTTAATGTGTCGATCATTCATCATGTAATGTTATAGGTTAATGATCAACAGTCAAAGGTTTATTACTTTGCCTGCCATACGAATCAATCGGAACAATTTTATTTTTACATTTAATACTTTTTTATTATTATTATTATTATTCTTTTATTAAAATAACGATCGAAATATTTCTTATTCTCAATAGGATACGTAGTAGACGTATGAAAATACTGCGCCGATATTTAATTTTCTTTACAAGGTATTAACACCTCTCCATCTCGCATCAAATCCTAATACAATAAACAAGAAAATAATGCTAAGGAAACTAAAAAGGGCCATAATAGAAACGGTCCAACCAATACCTAAAAGAACAAGAACCTCTAGAGGTCTAATTATTAAAATTACAATAACAACCAACAAATATGAAAAGAATTCACTTAAAGCTAATGCCGAAGCGCTTTTTCCTGGACAAGCATCAATTAGATACGTTGAAACACCATTACATTGACTTTGTAATCCAATTCCGGCTATAAGATTTAAAAAATTAATATTTCTTAAATTATATTTATAAAAAAAAAAAAAAAAAAAAAAAAAAAAAAAAAACTTCAAACCGAGATTTCGTTTAAACTTACCTATGAATGTACTTATTAATGGTATTGCAACATGGACTCTGTTCCGCAATAACCATCCAAGTGATGCTATAAAAAAAGGCACCAACAAACTTGAATAATATGCTACTTTAATTCTCATTACAGGAAATTTAAAGACAGGTTTATCTTCTTTTATCACTTGTGTATCATCACCTCTCGTGCGACTCATTTTTTCCCTCCTTTCCATTTCTCTTGTTCTTTCCTTTTCTTTTATCAATTCTTTATCACTTTCATGTTTAACGAGAACATCAGAATATTTTCCAGTTATAAAATTACCAATCAAATAACCGACGGTAGGACTCATATAAGTCAATACAATGGTTAAATTTGACAAATCATAAAAAGAAGAAAACTCCTCGATAATTAATATACTTTGTATATATATAATCGAAAATGCTACTGATTTACTAAGTATTGCTAATGTGATATTTAATTGCAGCAATAATTTTAAAGGTGATAAAGGATTATAACGCTTCCTTTGTATAAATGATGTTGATTCTTCCGATGGTGATGTTGGATTTTCTACTCTTACAATTTGAACTTTATGTGGCTTTATTGATCGAAGTGATCCTTCTGACGGTCGAAATGTCTCAGGTAAAAAGGATGCTAATAGTAAGAGGATTACTCCTCCGGATATTGCTAACACATAGAATATCCAACGCCATCCTAATAATTGTGTTATAAATTCACCAATGAATGGACCAGTTGCAAATGCAACAAAATATCCAATAAGATAAGCGGCATATGCTCTTCCTCGTTCTAATCAAACCGGAAAGTTATTGAAAGAGATAATTTTTTTTCTTTAAACAAAGGAGAAAAAAGAACAAGATTTTAAAAGTATACCACTTGGAATGAATAAATCACTAATGGTTCCTCCACCAAGACTAAAAGAAGCTGAAATTCCGAGAGATTGCAATGCTCTGAATATTATCAATTCCTGTATATTTTTTGAATATCCACATATTATATTACTCATTGTGAATAATAGTAATGAAGATAAATACACTTTTTTTCTGGTTCTAAGTTGATCCGAATATGATGACCAGAATATTGGCTAATAAAGAAAAGAAACAAAAATTAGAAGGGAAATGAAAAAGAAAAGGATTTTCTTTAAAAGAAACTTACTGTGGATCCTTGAAAAATGAAAAAGATTGCGACTAAATTTACATTAGAAAATATTTTAACCTTAATTTTTTTGGTCACTTAACAGCACTTTTAAAAATGCAATTGTACTTACATAATAAATTTACAAATTCTGTGGTTGTATTAAAATCTCTTTTTATCTCCAACATTGCGGGGTATAAAAATCTATGTAAAAAATGATGATATTATTTTTTTAAATAAACAAATCTCGATGAAGTTTCTCTTCTATACTTACACATGTGATAGTGGAGTAAGAAATGTCGGTAAGGATATAAGGAAAAGGATACGAAATTTCTTTAAATATGGCCACCTTTGTGGATCAAAATGTCCCCCTGATTTTATTACATGTTCTTCTTCCTCATCTTCGCTACTTGACTTTTGTTGTAATGATTCATCAATATCTGTCATATTTTAACAAAAAAAATTATCTTCAAATTTTAAAATGATTGTCAAAGAAATATTTCTAAGCCCATTAAAATATGAAAAAGAAATTCTCACACCTCTTTATAATAATTGATCGATATTCCAAAATAAGCAATAAGCTTTTTTTTTTGGGAAAGGTGGCTTCATTTTCTAAATTGGGATTGCTTAAAAGGCGCAATCATGATTTTTTTTTTTAATATAAAAGGATATTCTTACCTTTTTTATTAAAACCTAATTTACATTAATCCATGCAACCAGTCTTCTATAATAATAACAGCGTAAAGTAAATACGTTCGTTTTTTTTCTCCCGCATTTTAAATACACAAAATCATATGTAGTTAAACCGACTAAACTTCTTATTGGATTCTTTCAGTCACGTGTATATTTAAATATTTCTCACGAAAAAATTAAATGTATTCTTTTTCAACTATTATTTGCTGCCATATTTATCAAATCCTAAATCAAAGAATCTCGCGAATTGTTAATTCATTCATTATTATCATTTGCGTGGAAATAATTATAAAGTTCGTAACTGCGACAACTATTATTATCGTATGCATATGCCTTATTGTCGTTGATTGTTACGTAAGTGTAAAATTTGTTTTGCTATGAAACTTTGCCCATTTAATTACCGTTTGGGTTCGTTTTTGGTGGCGTCCACAAAATAATATGATAAGCTATTTATAATATAAAACTTTGTTTTGCGCCAAAAAAAAATGAAAAATCAAATTTATGCACATACTGTTACACATAAAAAAGAAAGACGGGGCGTTAAAATTGTCATCATTGAAACATAAAAGATAATTTACTATTTTTTTTGTTTGTTAAAAAATTAATAGTAATAGAACTTTTTTAAACTATCATATTCAAGCTCTTTAGCAGAATAAATGTGCTCGGATCAAATTTTCCGATTACCGTTTAGAATTAATGTCGGATCCATATGTTTCAATTTTAAAAAATTCTTTGGCATTTAACTTAAATGATATAATCCCTCGTTGTCCCCCTTCATATATTTATCCATGCATAGCCAATTTCTCTTGTTTACAAGTAAGGATACCATAAGAATGCAAATCCAGTAATATTTATATATTTTAGTTGAAATAACTATTTTAGACAATTTATTTAATCTAAATTTCGTCTAATAGTAATCTCATTCAAAATAACGAGACAAATACCATTTCTAGAATCGTTAAGTAACTACAATTTGATTACTTGTTAAACATTTACTGGATATTAATTACTATGAATAATAATTCCGTTAATAACTATATTATTTTTAATTTTCGGACATGGAATTTTTATTTTAACCATAAATAATATATAAATAATATAATTACTTTATGTGTTTATTGAAATTGTTATAATCCTAAATATTTATGAGCTAATAAGACCCTTTTGTCATTCACTTGTCTTTCATAGAAGAAAATAAAAGAAATTAAAAGCCATTAATGGTGTAAAAATAAAAAATGATCAACATATTAAATTTGCAAAAGATTTTTTTTTTTTTAAAAAAAAAATAAATTACAACTTATTTAAGTATTTTATTTGAGGTTGAACACCACCAATCAAATTATTTTGCTTTGATGTCAAGTAATCAAATAAAAATTTCTTCAAGTGAGTTTCCAAGTTTAATTTTTGCTCGTGAGAAAAGCTTAAATATTCTTGTGGCTGTTGTTTGCTAAATTCTATACCGTGCATGGTCCTGTTCAAAAACTGAACTATCAGCGAATGTGGGACCATTTCCGCAATTATTTTATAGATTTTCTCATCACCCGGTTGAAAATTAAACACATGAGAATTGTTCAACGGAGGAGCATTGCATAAGTTTGATTCAAATAATTTACAAGTAATATGATAAATTTGAGAATCATTAGGTACGCTATAAAAGAATTTATATTCACGCGCATCA